ATTTCTGCTGTTCTGTTTGATTTTCTTTTGAAAACACTTTGCTGATTGATATAGGAACCCGTAGCATATCTTGGTATTTTATTATGTTGTATCTATTTCTTGTCACAAATTTTCTTTTTTCTAGTTTCTGGTTTCACAGGTACTTGAAACTCTGGTACATTAAATAATCATTGACTATTGAGTGAGTGCACAAATGTGATCATGCTGAAGAACCAAGTTGACATAATTATGAAGCAGAAGGAAATTTAATGCATTTCCTCTTTATATGGTAGTGATCTAGGGTTTTCTTTGGGTGATTCAAGATTTAGACTAATATGAGAAGACTTAGTAATTCTGGTGTGAAACAGGATCTTCTTCTATCACTAATGGATAAACTGGGATACACCAGTCACTTGGACAAGACTATATAAGACTTACTAAATGCGTCTCTTCGATCTAGACAAGTGTCTGAAACTGTGAAGTAGTGGAATTATATGAATTCCAAGTTGGCTTAGCATTGCCAAACGGAACTTGTAAGGTCATTCTTTTAAGTTGTTTGCATTTCTTTTTAGGTAAAAGGTCCAAATTTGTCTTTGTACTATCCGAAATTGAGCAACTTTGCCGTCCGTTGAAACTTTTGTTCAATTCATACTCCGTCGGTTAGGAAAAAGTCTCTGTATATTCCCTTGCAATTAATGGAGCTCCAGCGTGAAATAATAGGTGGTCTCCACGTATTCAAATTCTTTCACTAAAAAGGTTCAGATTTAACCCCCAATGCTCGACTATGGATTAAAATTACCTTCAATTTGAAGCTCTGTTAGGGGTCAAGGGCAAAAACGGGAAGTCTAAAGGAGGGCAAGCTTTATCAAAAAAATAAAAACTTGATAAAAAAGTATATAGGAGAGCAAATCTGATTAGTTTCAGATAGAACAGGGGCAAATGTAACCCTTTCCCCTCTTTATATTATTGGACTTTCTTAACATCAACTTCTAAAATTAACCTTTACAAGCTCATTGTTCACAAGTTACTTATCATTGCTTTACTAGAAAGGACAGTATTCCACTGGGCTTGAGATTTTCCCATCTTGAATTTATCTCTTGTAACTGGCGAAGACTTCTACTGTATAAGTAACAAAATTTGGGGTTATTAGTTGAGCGTTTCTGCTGTGATCTCCTATGCAGGTCAGGGAAAAGCTTACTGATACAGAATACCATGAATTCGTCGGGTATATGAAGTCACTCAAGTCTAAAGCAATGAAGATAGGCCAAGTTCTTCAATCTATCACAAGATTATTTTCTCTTCCTGATAAACCAACTTTTTTTATGTCTCTTAAATATTTTAAGTTGATAATTATTGTGATTATTAGTCATTTTAGGTCATTTTCAAATAATATATGTTACCCTTTCCGGCCAATTTTATGAGGCACAATAAAATTCTAAGAGTCAACAAATTTTTTATTAGCAAATAAAGATTGACATTCACAAAAATGATATTTGAAGAATTGACAATTGGAGGTAATAATTGAAGTGGACCCCAAATAAACTTTTAATTGTCATATTACGTTTTTTGAAAGTCAATTTAACTAATTTTCTAGGTTATATTAGATTACAATAATTCGATATTTTAAACAAAAAATTTAGATATTCAAAAACTACACGAAAAGTACTATAAATTGCAATTTTTTATATATCAATATGATAAAAAAAAATATCGTAAATTGTTAGTCAAAGTTTTTATAATTTGAATTTAAAAAAGAAAACCACAATAATTAAAAGTAGACGGAGTGAATATGTGATAAAACTTAAAATTGGTGGTGGAATAGGCAAGTAAAGTGGGCCCGTTAGAGAATAAATGTGGAAAATTTACCTCTGTATGTTGAATGGCAATTGAAGTGGGCCATAAATGAATGTGAATAAGCAAGCAAGCATTTTGACGGAGTGCTGCTTGCATATTCACATTTCTTGGATAGTAAAATGCCCGCGCTGTGCACGGGTCCAAGCATTAAGATTGATTTTTAAAATTGATTTACATATTTTAATTTTCAATTTGTTGTATATATATATATATATACTTCTAAGTTAAATATTCAAAAAGGAGAATATTTGATATTCCCTCTGTATTTTTTTTGGTTGTCTTAATTTCCTTTTTAAGAGTTAAACAATATAAATTTTGATTAATATTTTAAGAAGTATTTTTTTATCATATTGATATGAAAATTGTTGCAATTTATAGTATTTTTCGTATAAATTTTGAATATCTAAAAATTTATTTTAAAATATTGAATTAATGCAATCTAATTTAACTTTGAAAATTAGTCAAATTAACTCTTGAAAAACGCAACATGACAACTAAAAAGGAACGGATAAAATAATATTTAAAATATACTTAGCTAATAATACAAAAAGTATTATAAATTATATTTGCTATTTCTTTTTATCTCAATTTATATAGTATCTATTAAATGTAACTAATAATATTTTGTATCTCAATTTATATAGTCTCTTTATCTTGATTTAATATTTTTTGTGTGTAATCAAATTAATTTTTAAAAGCCATAATTCTCTATTTTATGAGTATATATACGTTGAAAATTTAAAATTGAAATAAGTAATAATTATCGATTTACCATACCGCTAAATATTGAAATCAAATTTAAAAATATAAACTATATCAATTTAATTTTAAAAGATCATGATTCTCAGTCCTAAACTTGAAATCGAAAGAAATTATAATTACCGATTTATCATATTACTAAATATTGAAATCAAATTTGAAATAAAGAAATGGGTCCCACGCATGATCACAATATTATGCTGCAAATGGAATTCTCCTTGAAATGAAGAGAGTTAGCAAGCAGGTGAAGCACACATGTTGACAGTGTGCTGCCTGCTAATGCTATCACTCATTAAATAAGAGAATTTGAAAACAACACCAATAGGTGAATTAAGGGCCCGTTTGGCCATGCGATATGGTATCATGATATGAAATCATGCGATGAAATTGAAGGTTTGTTTGGACATGCGATATGAAATTTTTGTGTTGGATATTTTCTCATAAACATAAAAATCCCATAAGTGTAAACTATTAAAATAGCCCCAATTGTTTATTCAATCTTATCAAATAAACAAAATTATAAAATCGCATAATAAATTATTACAAAGTTATTTGTTCTTCACTTAAGTAATTGTTTCATCTAACTTTAATTTAATTAAAAAAATTGAACATAAATTGTACTTGATATGCTCATATCTCTCAACTACTCTTACAAATAACCTATAAAGTAGAAAAAAAACATACATTAGTGAGTAAATATTAACTTAGAAGTTAAATACACTAAGATAAAAATTAACAAACATCACTGACTTCTAACTATTTACAAGAAAAATCAATAGTTAAATATTATTGAATAACGAAATTTTAAAAAGTTACCACAAGTTTGAGTAAAAAACACTTCTAATAAAATTTAATCAAAAAAATTATAACTAGTCCACTTGACTAAATATTAATAACTAATTGATCAAATTTTCCCAAGTCCTCAATCAATTGGACTTGATATTCTTCAGTCATGTGAACGAACATTGTTGTTTGGAACGTTGTTGATTGAATTGGGCTGGAAGTGGGTTTCTGTATTATGGAATAGGCTGAAAGTTGGAGAAAAATTAGAATTGAGGAAGTTGGGCTTGGGTTTGGGTCTAAGGTGGGCTGCTGGAAATTTGTAAAAAGGCCCAAAATTTTGGTCTCAAAATTGAGTGAAGTAGGAGGTCAAAGATGGGTTAGATCTTGGAGTTTAAGAAATTGCCAAATTGAGTTTAATTTAGAGAGTTTGGCTAAAATTTAAACAAGACGAATTAATGTTAATTAATTAACAAGCTTCTTAATCTTAACAAAATAAAATAATTAATTTAATTTTAAACTAATTAACTCAAAAGTATAAACTATAAATTAGCTAAACTAATTAACCAAATATTTAAGTAAAACTAAAATCTTTTTGAGATGATTTTCAAATATTAATATAATAAATCTATACAAAATTATATGGAATATATAAATTACTTTTAAAATTATAAAAATTATAAAATTACTTGAAAAATATTTAAAATTTTATAAAGTCAATTGTTTCATTTGGAATTTAAGAAGCTCGATGATTAATTTATATTGTGGAGGTCCAAAATTGGGTGTCAATTTTAAGGTGCTATCTAGGTATTTAGCCAAAAAGATATTCAAGAAAAAATAATGAAAGAATCTTATTAATTCATATAACCCATTCTGCACATTAATGAAATGTTTATTTTCACATAAGAATAGAAGAATCAATATCTTTTAAGTTAATAAAGTTTGGCATTGTTCAAATACTTGATGGTGCAGTTTCCATAAAATTATGTACTTAAAAGAAAAAGGAAATGATGTTGAGTCTATGCTACCATTCTTCTCCATCATACTACACTTCAATACGAGAATAATTTTCACATTAGAATAGAAGAATCAAGTTTTAAAGTTAATAAAGGTTGACCATAGTTCAAACATCTGATGATGCAGCGTCTATACTATTCTTTACTTTACTTACAGTAAAAGGAATAGATCACAGTACTATTCCATTACATTCTCCTCCATCATATAAAATAGCAAATAGAGGATAGTGACTTTTATTAGCACGAAGTATCTTTCATGTGCACTAACATCAGCACGAAGTATCTATGACATTGCTTTGCACAAAAATAGATAACATGGATAAGGAGCTACAACAAATGAAAAGTCAGCAGCATGACAATAAATATGCGGAGCTAAGTCAATCGAAAGACTTGAAAATTCCAGAGCTAGAAGGTGACGATGGGAAACACCGAAAAACCCAAACTAATAATCTGTTATATGCAGCTACAGGAAGTACCTTTGCAACAAAAGGAGAAAACAAAATGAGATATGTCAATACAAACATGAACAAAATATTTGAAAAACCATTCACACCAAAAACTCAAAACGAACCAGTACTCATACCACCTCAAATCACTACATATAAAGAAAGCTTAGGACAAAATAAAAAGACATATAACCATATAACCAGAGCCTATATAGAAAATATTCACAAAATACAAACTTTCCTAAACCAAAATCCCAGATCCAAGAATGCAAAAAACCCTGATGAAAATTATATTACCCAAACTTTACAAGGATATAATAAATTAATTGCACAACCAGGAACTAGCACCAATTTAGTAGAAACTTGCTATCACTATGGATTATTGCGTACAGTATACACCGCCAATCACAAATCAACTTGGAGAAGATCAATGAAAAGTGTACGTTCAGCATAAGCCTCTTTTGGTACACAATGTCCTCTCAAGTGTGAGACGAACAAACCATGAAATCCTTTCGGAGCTGCAAAAGATTTTCATGAAAAGAACATGTTTTCTCAGTGACTTGTTTGTACATGGAGCTTTCTCGAAAGGAAAAGGATGCAAGAACTTCAAGTAGTTGTATATTTTGAGCTGGATAATTTTCAGCCTGATCTTCTCATGTTTCCAGTTCATTCAGATATGTTATAATTCATCTTCCATCTCATCTGGTACATGCAGCTTTTCAATGGCAGCCTGATAGAAAATGCGGATACAGTGGGAAGGACAAAGGTCAGCTTATATAATTTGAATCAGTCTTGTGATAAAATATCTCTTCAGTAGACAAGCATTAGTACAATTCAGAAACAAAGGGGTAAAGAACGAAAGAATAAGACCAGGAAAAAAGTAGGCAAGATATTACAAAGTTTCCAGCACTAGAGGACAACATCGAAGGTGATTTCAGTAGATGTCTGAAACTATTTTCTTTCTGGTATCAAGTTAGAAATAGAACTATGATAGAATAAGTAAAAGGCCGACAGAAGAAAAGAAACCATAATGCTCGACTTGCTGAAAAAAATTACCAGTATACACACACACATTATGTGCATCTGTGGGCAATTATGTGCAAATGGGCAATTACCTTAATGGTAGCAACATCAGTTGCAGATGGTTTTAAATCTAATGCCACTCCAAAATGAAGCATGGCTTTGTCGTACATATTACGCCTCTTGTATATCCGACCCATCAAAGCATAGACACTGCTCTCACGAGGAGCATGCTCTTTAAGTTCCTCTAAGACTTCTAAAGCGGCATCAAAACTTTCCGTGCTCACAAGGATGTTAGCCTTCTGATACATTGGAAGAGGGTTTTTCTTGTCTGCTACAATAGCCAGCTCCATCACTTCCAATGCCTCTTCATTTTTCTGACCATCCATAAGATGCAGATTAGAGTCTAAATTAAGGACAACATCATGTTTCAGCATAAAAATCAGAAAAGGAAACTACTACACCTTCAGAGCGTGTAATGCAGTGCCAAGATATGACATGATAACAGAAGACTGTGGATTTATACCCAAAGCCATTCGAAAGTGATGCTCTGAAAATTCAAACTTCTCCTGTCGGAGATAGATCATTCCAAGCCCATACCAGGCATTGTAATGCCTGGCATCCACACGAAGTGCACTCTGATAGCACTTAATAGCATTTTCAAAATCTTCTAAAGCAACATATCTGGAAAAATAGACAGTGAGGCAAGCTTATAAAGAAACTAACAATACACCTCTCTACAATTAAAAGAAAAGATATTCCACGCTCACGTTTGACCAATAAAGGAATGATTGAGAAAGGGGAGGAATGGGACGTACTCATGACCACAAAGCGTGTGCCCGTATGCAAATCTAGGATTTAGTTGTACAGCTCGTTGAAAATTTTTAAGAGCAGTTTCATGGTCTTTCTGTAAACTATAGCAATTCCCCATAGCACACCTGTTATACCATTGATAAAGTATTAAAACTAGGTCATAATGAAGAGAACAGATGATACTGGTTTTCCTGTTTAGCTCCAACTACTATTTGCAACAGCAAGAAACACTGTTTGGCGCCTTGAAAGATCAAAGCCTTACTTGGCACAAGAGCTCCACAAACAGAACTTATATCCAACTTTAAATGTGTGGATGCATGTAATTTAGCAGATGATAGTCTCATAGTGATGTCAACATTATATTTCAACATGCACTGTGGAGATTACATTCCAGGCTAGAATGAAAAGGTCGCCCTTCATGTTCCACTTTATTGAGGCATTTTCTCTACTAGTACAAGTAGCAAAGAATAGCAGTTTTTAACAATCCTTACATAAAATTTTATTTTTTAAATGAACAAGTCAGCCATTGGGTAAACTTCTCGATTATTTATCTACACCTTGAGTGCAAACACAGAAGTCAGAATTTTTAGACAGAAGGATGTAATTCTAATTGTTAAAGCAACATAATGTGTCTACCAGGTTAAGAATAATCAGAAACACAAGGAGTCACATTGTCAACAACTTGATCAAGGGTAAAAAACAGCAAACATGGCGAAGGACTGATGATCAATGATACTCAGCCATTCATGAGTAAAATAAATTAATACTTGATAAGATGTTACAAATAAGCCCAAATAACCACACATCTCTGGACAAAAGGAATAAACAGCACCAGAAATATCTATATCAGACAATGTCATCTTCGGATTTTGCAGGAATTACCAAGATTGAGGAGCTAATCTATCAGTTGATACCAGCACCTGCGCCAGATAGCTCAACTTCATGTCCTCCTTGAGATGCTACAATTAAAATCAAATAGTTTGTCAGGAAAGAAAAAAAGGCAGAGAGAACATAAAGATTGGGACCCTTTTGGGACATAAGAACTAGTAGGATAACCATATATAACCAGTTTCCTAACTACCAAAAATATGCTTTTAAGACATAATTTTAATTAGTGAACAGTACCCGGAAGCAACAAAAAACACCAGAACAAAAAAACTATTGTTATTAAATAATAGTAATAATGATCATAGAATATAAGCAAATAACGGTAATGTCGACGTAACAAGGATCAAATAAAGTTTCATCAAACCTGTCCGGCATCACCACCCCACCACCCAAAGAGATGGTAAAATTAAAGGCAGTTAATACTTCCACACAGCAAAGCATACATGTTCTGATTGAAACACTAAAAGAGCAAAGAAGACTCACAAACAACACTGTCGAGTACACGTCCATTCCTTCTAAACTATAAGGTGAGGCCAGACGAGCAAGGCCAAATGCATGATCTGCTTCTAGGTAATCAACCATTTCGAAGTATGCTCTTCCAATCTGGCATTCAAATACGCACATCAGATACTATATAGACAGATAAATGTGGCATTCTAATTTCCTCATGAGATGCCACAATAGACAGATACCAAGAGAACCATTTTTATTTGATAAGCAACAGATACCAAGAGAACTAAAGAGCAAGTTAGGCCGAGAGATACCAAGAGAACTCAAGAGCAAGTTAAGCCGAGGGATATGTAAAAAGAAAGAATCCCGTGCCCCACCACAAGTAGAAAGGGCTAAAGACCCTCAAACACAGTACAAAATGGTCCTAAAAATTATACTAGCAAAAGTAGATGTTCTCCGGACCATGCAACGCAGTGCCTTGAATCATGATCAATAATCTAGACTGTCCAAATGACAGTTCATTGTCCTATTCAAAGGAATTCCTTCAGCACCTCACACGGCAGAATCAAGATCCTAGAAGACCACTCTTGGGAAATAGTGCTCCCTGCCAATCAATGAAATCTGAAGAAGACATGCATATCTATTCCAGGCCACTTAATATTCTTGTTGTGTACTGGAACAAAGCTATCTAATCGATATTTCTAGTACATATACATAACTATATAACTAGTCTAAACATGGAACTTATACATCATGAAAGATGAAGTTAGATTCACAAAATTAACCCCAAAAAAGAAATGAGCATGTCCAGCTAGTTTGAAGGAACCTACATACTGGAAGCAATTTCAATTAGAGACGAGCAAATAAACAGTAAAGGACAAGAATGAATATCTCCTTTGATTCCCTGAACAAGCATAAAGAGAAAACTTAAAATGAACAGGACTTTGAACGGAGGAAATATAAAAATACATACATTGCCAGTGTTATCAAAGGCGAAAAGCGCAAAAAAGCCCTAAGGTCCATGGGGGCTTTAAGCGCAAAGCGCAAATAAAGCGTGGGCTTTAATGAAAAATGGCGCAAAGGGAGAAAAGAATACAAATATATATGTTTAGTCCAAGACTAATAATTATAAACATGAATGACAAATATATGACCAAAGAAATTGAAAAAAATTTATGGTTAAGTGAAATATCAATTATTTAGTTTCACTTCTTCATAAAAGTCTCATTGGCAAGGAAAAGCTTGCCTTAGAACCTTGATGACGACACTGAAGCGCACATAGGCGAAGCGCTCAACACGTTTTGAGCCTCGCTTCCGGGCTTAAGCACGCTTAAAGCGCGCCTTTGATAACACTGTACATTGCCTCCAAAAGGATTGGAGAAAAAGTGATCAAGACAGAGAACCTTTACCTGAGAAAGAACCCATCCAGTGTGATAATGTTTGTGTGGGAGTTTGTTATAAACATCCAGTGCATCCTGTTCCACCGCAAAGCATCATATTTCAACCAAATCAATGCAGAGCATCAAATGAATGCTGAAATTTATCCATTCAGAATCAAAATGTAATACCTGACATCTATATAAACAAGAAAGTCTATAGCCTTCCCCAAGAATCCTGAAAAGGGCCAATATCTCTGAAGCACCTGAGAGGATAGATGTGCTGCTTACATTAACCCCAGAAGCAGAAGTTCCGGGCCCTTCTTGTTCAAGAGGTCTAGCATCTCCAGAAGGGTGTGACATAGTCATATTTAGCCGAGAATCATTAGAAATGTCATTGCGAGTCCCTGAGATGCAGACCTAATACAGTTACGAATAAAAACACATCTCAAAGGTAGATGTCATTTTTCTTAGGTAGCAACAGTGCACAAACACAAGAAATTCCACACGAACATAGCTGTTGGTGTTCAGCTTTCTTCATTTTTCCTTTGATTTATAGTAGTATTTTCAGATGAAAAAAAATAAAATTATCTGTACTCTTGAATTCTTTCAAATGATTAATGCATCAATCAATTGTGATCCCACACATCCAAATTGTAGTAAACCAGAACTGGGGAACTACCGAAGTAAAGTTTCAACTTTGACGAATAATAAAAGAGGTAAGGAAAAAGTCAAAAAATAGAGGGAGAAAAACAATCTCCTAAAGTTTGTGACGGAACCACTAAATTAAACAAGTATGCACAAGTCTATTCGAATTTAGGTGATCATGAAAGTAACTCAAATATAACAACAACAAAATTTGTTAGATTTTCAGAAATATCACATGTAACACAATAGCAATCCATTTGGAGCACAGGCGGGGTTTTGTGCCTCCCTTAAGTTTAGAGAAAATATCTTCAGATGATATGTCCTTATTAGATGATAGAAAATTTCCAGAAAAAACCAAACCCAACTTCTTTTTCTGTACCAGATTAATATACAAATTTAGCTCCATGCAGGCTTGGATGTCAGCATATGACCAGCCAACTGCTGTTCAAGTGTACTATATTTCTGCATAGAGAGGGGGGGAAAAGAAAGAAAAAAGTTGCCCGACACTCCGTTTTGTCTCACGCACTAATGTTGACTGGCTACAGTCAAAAGTCAACACTTCTTTGCAATTATACTTCACTTCAAGCAATTGTGTGAACCAAACCTTAGGATTCACATAAATATTTATGATGAGTCTCCACTCTAAAAAGGCGACAATGCCTAGGTTGAAAATACAATGGACAACAGAATTGTCAAGAGAAAAGGCAAAAATATCAATCACCTTCACCATAGTTTTCGGTAGCCCAAGATTGTGCCTTTCGACTTGTCATGGAACGTAAAGTCATTGAGCTCAGCTTCGAACTACCATAATATTTGGAAGAATGAATTGTTCCATTTCCAGAAGCACCAGATACATTTGAATTTGTGTTTCCAGTAGATTCTCCAGCAAGCCTTGAATTTCGTCGAGGGCCAGAATCAGAAAATAACCTCCCAGATATCTGGAAAGATGAGAGATAGTGGACTTCAGACCCAAAAAAAAGGGGGAATGGAGACAACGAAAATCCACCATATAAAGCACCAGAAATGTAAAGGGAGTTTAGTGATTAAAAGTTAAAACTGAACAAATGCACAAAATAAAGGAGATGAACAAAATCAACACCATAGTTCAACAAGCTAAAAGTTTTTAAAAAAATTCTCGTTTTTAAACCAAAAGAAGCTAAATAATACAAAATAAGAGCCTAGCCTCTAACAACCGACTTCTACAGGTGAAAATTGGTAAGGACAGCAGGCTTGCACCAAAAGCTTCACACACTAAACGCTCACTTCCAAATTACAACAAAAGAGAAAACTAATACTTAAATTGTTATGAAATCATTTTGTGAAGAAGCTTTTTTTATCACGAAAAACTTAGAATAAAAGCTGTTTCGCTTTGTGAAGAGTCATATAAAGGCATCTTGATTGATAGACATACTTAAAATGGAATATGAGGAAGTACGACATTACTTCAGTGGGAAGTTTCTATCAAAAAGCTAACAATCCTGCAGCAATTATACAGAGAAAGAAGAACTTAATATTAAAATAGACTAGATGACTGAAACCTATGTATTATAGTACTGCAGACCTTTCTTAACTTCCCCTCATCAACAAACTTTCTCCGAGGGGCCTGAATGGTTGAATTGACAGTTGCTCGTGGAGAATTATCAGCACCAGCCACAGATGCAGTAGTTCCATTTTGCTGAAAATTTCTACAAACTGGAGGTGGAACCACTCCTGACAACTGCAAAGAAGTTGTATTTTACAAACTTTCGAAAAATCAAAAAGAAATTCTAGTGTTGCCAAATTGCATATAAGAATGTCAGTTGCTTCTTTAATATAGAAGATTTTGTCACCTTTACAGATTGTTTAGCCAAGCTTTTGGGAGGCCAAAAGTGCTTCTTCTTGTTTTTAAAGAAGTGTGTATGCTTAAAAAAGTGAGTTGTTTAACCAAGCTATGAGGAGAAAATAAGTGTTTCGGGGAGCAGCAGAAGTTTAAAAAGATGGCTTTTCTCCCAAAGTGCTTTATTGAAAAGCACTTTTGAGAAAATACACTTAGAAGCACTTGTTAAAAACATGGTCAAACACAAACTGCTTCTCACAAAGCAAAGTCACAAACTGCTTCTCACCAAAAGTACTTTTTAGAAAAGCACTTTTCAAAATAAACTGATTTTAGAGGCTTGGCCAATAAGGCTATTAATTTCACTTCAATTAACAAGAACATAGTTCTGTGAAACTATACAGATATCATTAGAAAGTCACCAACTATGTTCTAAACCGGAGAAGACGTTTGTTTTAGGCTCCATTGGATTGAGAATAAATTAGACATTTTCTGTGCTCTTCAAAACTTGCAATCTGCTTTAAATTAGAGTCAAATTCTCTGATTGCTACCCTCATCCTCAATCTAAAGAAACTATGATCTAACTCAGTGTTATCAAAGTGCGCTTTAAGCGCGCTTAAGCCCTAAAGTGAGGCTCAAAACGTGTTGAGCGCTTCGCCTCGCTCTATGTGCACTTCAGTGTTGTCATCAAGGTTCCAAGGCAAGCATTTCCTTGCCAATGAGCCTCTTATGAAGAAGTGACACTAAATAATTGATATTCCACTTTATCATAAAAAAAAATCGATTTCTTTGGTCATATAAATTTGTCATTTATATTTATAATTATTAGTCTTGGACTAAACATATATATTTGTATTCTTTTCTCCCTTTGCACCTTTTTTCACTAAAGTCCACGCTTTATTTGCGTTTTGCGCTTAAAGCCCCCACGGACCTTAGAGCTTTTTTGAGCTTTTCGCCTTTGATAACACTGGATATAACTAACAAATACATTGTCACCATTTTTATTAGAATGGTAATGGTGTATTGCTTGGTACAATGGACAATCTAGAAAAACATGTCTCACTCGGGATTATCTGCAGAGGAGGGGATACCAGTTATGTAACAAATGGTATATGTGTAATAACAACAGAGACAATCAATCATATATTCTTGCATTGTCCTATAGCAGCACAAATATGGCAGATGTTTTACAGTATTTTGGACGTGAAGTGGGTAATGCAAAGATCAACCGCAGACTTATTTAAATGCTGGAACAGGAAAGGTGTAAAAGGGCCTTTGAAAACTAAATGGAATACAATTACAGCATGTTTTTGATGGTGCATATGGAAGGCAAGGAATAGAAGAGTTTTTGCGGGTCAAGCTAACAATACTATAAAGATCAAATCTGACTGTAATATTTTGTTCTAGTAGGATTAGGATGGATTTTGTAAATGATGTGGAAACCTTATGACAGTGCATAGATAGCTTGCAATAGAAGGTTACAGACTTCTCTTGGTTTTTGAACTTTTGGTGGTGTACTCGGGTACAACCTTTGTGCTACATCGTTAATACTTACCTTTTAAAAAAGATCACTAACCTAATACTACTTTTCTTTTATGCAAACTTAGATATATATATATATATATAATCTGTCAATGTCTAATTCTTTTTTTTGAGAAAGTAACTTTGTATTCACAAAAAATAATCATCAAAAGAATGATGAGGAGAAAAAGTTATGTTATCTTTAAAGAAAAATAAAAATTAAGCATCTTCACTGCAATGCATACAGCGATAGCAAGTAACAACCAATGAACCTTTTCTTCAGTTAGCACCAGAAGAAAAGAGTTCCTATTTCCGATATAGAAAAGACACAAAAGATAATATGTCATTGAACAGACAAACTAACAACTATGGATGTATATAAACAATGTAGAGAAAAATTGGAACAAATACTGGTTAACTAGAGACAAGATTTTTGATTGCAGATAGAATGCAAGCCATGAGCAGCAGCATAATCTTAAAAAGTAAAAAAATCACCTGATTTGGTTGAGTAAATAGCAGCTATCTCTAGGATTAACAAAAGGATAAGCTGTTATCCTGTTTTTGTGGCATGCTAAGTTATCTTTATGTATAAAAGGACTTGTCAGAAAGAGGTCAAGTTAGAAGGTTCAGACATGACTATTATAAAGTCAACCCAAATTCTTTTATCAAAAAGTGAGACTTCTGATTAAGGTGAAACCATTTTAAAGTTCTACTATGATACTCCCCAAGTGAAGATAATTGGCTATTGTTTAAAATCAACTAAGGGCTTACAACAAAAAATGTTTTACAAGTCGGTATCAAATTACCTGTGATGCCATTGGTGAGGGAGTGTTGTAGAATGACATGTTAGTAGAAACCCCACCTAAATTCTGGATAGCAGCTGCTCCATTATAATTTCCAGACATTTCTCGAAGATTATTGCTGTGTGTATGTTTTGATTGCCTAGGGCTGATGTCGCCTGAGACAATATTCGTAGAAGCTACATTCTGATCATCAGTGGATGCTTGTAAATTTTGAGATTGGTTCCCTTGGTCTATGTGTTGTTTCTGAATGCAAAGCAAAGATGCTTCCCCAAAAACTGCAGCTGCTTCTTCTGCAGCACCTGGTATGTCGCCCAACAATAAGGATGCAAAATATAAAATCATAACTAAATAACAATGGCAATCAATATAACCTTCAACAACAACAACAACAACCCAGTGAAATCCCACTAGGTGGGGAATCAATATAACCTTCATGAAGTAGAAAATAACCTGAAAATATTATTTGGAAAAAAAGTAAATGTATGTTCAGCCATTCTTAAGTCAATGGAAATTTATGCAAAGTTTTCAAGGACAATACCACCAGTCAAGTTCGCTTTCTATATAGCTAAGTTCTCCAAAACCACTTAAGTTCACAATCCAGGCAAACAAGAGAAATATCCCAAAATTCGGCAGAAAATTTTAGAAAGTATAACAATTAGCTGAAAATACTACATTTGTTCCCAATTACTTTTAAAGATGAAGGAAATGTTTCTGCCTTTGAAAACAAAATCTCTCATCATGTCATAATGATTGTATCAAATAGTAAAATCTTTCTAAAATAAAACAATGGTATCTACACAATCCCAATGTGATGACCTGACCGTTTTTAGTTTACAAATCCGAACCATGTTCCGAGACTTCTTGTAGCTCAGGATAGCTATTTTATTTAATTTTGGACACTGGTAAATGTGTATATATTTCATCATGAGCAAAACAATTCATGGATTGTACTGAAACCATTTTTGGAAATTCTACTATCTTATTTCTATACTGAATCTAAACATCAATAATATAGACAATATCATTTTAGTATAACTGATTACGCCAAAAACATAAGATCAAAATACAATTCAATTTGATAACTGATTACACCAAAAAACATAAGATCAAAATGCAATTCAATTTGATCCTCCGCATAAAATTCAGTATTTACTATGTTCTCAAAACGCCTAGAGTTCCTCTCATTCCATACTGCCCACCAAATGCTTGCAGGAACAATTCTCCGTCTACTTCTGTTCTTAGCCTGCAGTCTGCAGACCTGCTTCCTCCCAACTCTGAAGTACTACGGACATAGTCATGATATGCCTTTGAGAGTTAAGAACAGTCTCCACAGCTATCTTGTGATCTAGCAATGAAGAAATAGATGATTAACTATCTCTGCACTATCACCACAAAAGAAACATCTAGAAAATATTGATACCCCTCTCTTCATCAAGTTGTCTTGAGCCAGTACTGCTTCCTTAGCTGGCAACCATACAAAACAAGCCACTTTATGTGGTATTTCAGTTTACAGAGATGCAATTACAGGACCAAATGTTTACTTGCTGAATGGGGTGATTCAACCTACTATAAACAATTTTCACCTTGAAAGATCTCATTACTTCCTTCCCACCATAAAACATCTTGTCCTGCCTCCAAATCACTGAACGATTCAATTGTGCTGAAGAAACCAGCCACTCTTTGGATTTTCTAATCATTTAACTATCTTCTGAAAGTGAAGCTCCATTCTTGAGGCGTTCAATGGGCTGCTATAGTCCTTTGTTAATGTAGGACTAAAAAGTGTACGTCTGGGGAAGAGTAATTCCAGGTTGCCACCGTGCCTATCTCATGACAATCATCCTTCTAGAAGTCAGTCTTTTTTCCCATTATACACTTTAATCTTGGTGTTGGGCTTGAGTTCATTCTATAGTGTTCTGATGGATAGCCATAGGCTTCTCCTTTTCTGACACAAATCTCCACAAGGTGTAGTATTATCTTCCTCCTCTTTCCGCCACAAAAGTTGATTTTCATTATTGTACTTCCACAACCATTTCACTCTAAGTCCCTTGGCCTTGCTCTGTCTCAATCTCCCATATCGCTTTCTAGCTATTAGTGTTTCCACTTTACCAAGTGTTATCCATTTCTTTCTTTATTTTCTTGCCAAAGAAAGTTCCTCCTGATTTTATCCAATCTATTCATAATTCCTGTGGGGATTGTAAACACATACATCATATAAGTCGGAAGGGCATCAAGGACAAAATTTGTAAGAGTCGATCTACTCCCAGAGATAGATATTGAGTCTTCCATGCCATTTTCTTCACACTTCTCAATCACAATATTCCATATTTTACTGGACGTAGATATAGTTCCCAAAGGCATTCCCAAGTACATGGTTGGTAAGGCACCAATTTCACCACCTAAGATTGCATTCAACATCTCCATATTTGGCACTACATTGATGGGATACAAGAAACTCCTCCTCTAGTTAATACGCAAGTCAGATGTTCCTTCAAATAGCACTAGAATCACCATAAAAAAAATTGAGTTGCTCTTCTTCAGCATCACAAAATATGAGTGTATCATTGGCATATTGATGATGGGTTATCTCTAAGCCGTATCTACCAGCTCTAGCAACATCAGAACCTTTTAGCCAGCCATTCAGATTTGTTGTTTTAACCATCCTTGTCTGAGACCCTTTGTGCTCTAAAAAAACATGTTGCTGGGCTATTCATAAGAACTGAGAAGCTCAGTACTAATATGCAATATTCAATCCAGTGAATTCATTTCTGTCCAAAACCCATCCTCTCCATTAGGACCATAAGATATCCTCAATTAACATGATCATATGCTTTCTCCATGTCTAGCTTACACAAAATTCCTAATTTCTTTTGCTTCAACCGGAGTCTATTGCTTCATTGGCTACTTAGACAGCATCCATGATTTGCCTTTAATGAAAGTCGTATATTGCTTCATTGGCTACTTAGACAGCATCCATGATTTATCTTTAATGAAAGTCGTCTGTTAAAGAGTACCAATTTAGCCATCACACTTTTCAGCCTTTCTGTTAGCACTTTGGAGAAAAGTTTGTAAATGTTGACTATCAAGTAGTTCGTAAATGATTTGCCTTCCTTTAATGAAGGTCATTTGTAGAGTGTTAGAATAGGAATAGGTATATACAATTCTACTTAGAATAGGAATAGGATGTTAGAATAGAAATAGATATACAATCCTACTTAAGATAAAAATAGAAATAGTATATAGTATCCTACTTGGAAAATGATTCAATTGTAGTGTCTGCAAATAAGGTCAGGATGTTAGAATAGAAATAGATATACAATCCTACTTAGGATAAAAATAGGAATAGTATATAGTATCCTACTTGGAAAATGATTCAATTGTAGTGTCTACAAATAAGGTTTCTATGTAATAATACAAATACACAATTCAATAATATTCTTCTCATATATTTCTCACATGGTATTAGAGTCAAGCTCATCCCAATTGTTGCTCACCGATGTTGGGCCCCCATTTATAAGTGTTCACGCTCCAGTTGAGGCTAGGCTTGCGTGGGAGTGTTGAGAAGTCTCAAATTAGCAGAGGGATGAGAAACTGATCTCCTTATATGAACTTGTACAAACATCCCCTCATGGGCTAGCTTTAGAGGTTAAGTTAGGCGCACGTATCATATTTTTACATAGTATCGGAGCTTCTATGATCTTGGTAGAAAAGAAGAAAAAAAAAAAACTTCCGCTGCCAGCGGGCACCTATGGCCCATATATGTCGCCTGTCTGGCCATTGGTTATGTTCACAAAAGTAGGGCCAATGATATATGCATGAACCCCATATTCAAGGGAACAAAACTAAATTAGAGAGGGCATCATGCATCAATTTCCAGCGACTTTCTAGGGTTGTTTTGTGTCAACCCCATATCTATCTGTGTTTGTGTAGCATCGTGTCATCTTTCCGATGACCACTTTCTCATTTTGAATTGTGTAGCACCGTGCCATCATTTCGATGACTACTATCCCATTTTTTGACTACATTGGGAATCAGTGACTAATTTTTCATATTCAATTTGTGTAGCACAGGTGTCTTTTCGATGAATACTTTTTCATATTTAATTTATGTAGCACCATGCCATCTTTTTGGTAACTGCATATCTGATTTTTGTAGCACTGTGTCATCATTCCGGTTGCTACTTTCTTTTGTGTAGCATCTTGCCATCTTACTTTCTCATTTTGAATTGTGTAGCACCGTGCCATCATTTCGATGACTACTATCCCATTTTTTGACTACATTGGGAATCAGTGACTAATTTTTCATATTCAATTTGTGTAGCACAGGTGTCTTTTCGATGAATACTTTTTCATATTTAATTTATGTAACACCATGCCATCTTTTTGGTAACTGCATATCTGATTTTTGTAGCACTGTGTCATCATTCCGATTGCTACTTTCTTTTGTGTAGCATCTTGCCATCTTTCTAGTGACTACTTTTTTATATTTAATTAGTGTAGCATCGTGCCATCTTTCTAGTGACTACTTTTTCATATTTAATTACTGTAGCATCGTGCCATCTTGTTGGTGACTCCTTTTTCATATATAATTTTTATAGCACCGTGTCATCTTTCCGGTGATAAGTCAATTGCCAGCAGGCCAACCCCTGAGGGTTAGCACCGTGTCATCTTTCCGGTGACTACTTTCTGAGAAAAGGCCCAAAATAGTCCCTCATCTTTGGGTTAAGACTCAAAGTCATCCTTGAGTTTTCACGTGGAGCATTAGTAGTTCCTCATGTTTGCAATATTGGTGCACTTTTGGTCCTCCTTCAAAATTTTGCCTATTTTTTAATATTAATTTTATTCATAATTTATATATGGAATGTTTAATCGTCATTTTATATATTTAGTAGAAATAATAACTCCATGTGGGAGATTGTGAGAAGAAAAACACCTTATTTTGTTTAGTAGAAATCGTATTGCAGGTAAAGTCGAGAAGTTCATCACGATGATTTCACGTACAATAGTACATTTTTTTCTTTTCTTGCTATATTGAACAGAACAAGGTGTTCTTCTTCTCACCTTCTCTCACATAGAATTATTATTTCTACTAAATATATAAAAAGACGATGGGTCATTCCTTACATAAAATTATGAACAAAATTAATGTTAAAAAATAGGCAAAAATTTAGGGGAGGACCAAAAGTGCACCAATATTGCGAACATGAGGGACTATTAGTGCTCCATGTGAAAACTCAAGGATGACTTTAAGTCTTAACCCAAAGATGAGGGGCTATTTTGGGTCTTCTCTCTCTACTTTCTCATATCTAATTTGCATAACATCGTGCATCTTTCCAGTGACTACTTTCTCTTAACACAAAGAGTTTTCCAGCAATATTTTTTTTGCTTTTAGATTCACTTTTTGCCAAAAGGCTATACTCAAATATTTGGGTTGGATTACAGTGATACTTTCTTCACTGTGATCTCGATGAGGTAGTCTATATGGAGCAACCACTTGGATTTGCTACTTAGGGGGAGTTTAGTAGCCTATTATGTCGATTGCTAGTGGAGTTGATAATTTTTTGCATCAAATTCAGTATTTCATGAGAGACCTCGTATTGAGATTGATTGTCATTTTGTCAAAGAAAAGATACTCTCGAGAGATATTGTTACAAAATTTATGAAGTCAATTGATCAACTTGCAGATATCTTTACCAAGTCCCTCACCGATCCCCATATTAATTACATCTGTAACAAGCAAGGTGCATATGATTTGTATGCACCAGCTCGAAGGGAGTGTTAGAATTCTCATATCTAATTTGCATAACATCGTGCATCTTTCCATTGACTACTTTCTCTTAACCGATTTGTGTAGCATCGTGCATCTTTTAGGTGACTCAGATCTTATTTACGTAGTTTCAACTTTTGTCAATGTTGTGCGAAATCCAAGAGATCTGAGTTTTCCAGCAATATTTTTTTTGCTTTAGATTCACTTTTGCCAAAAGGCTATACTCAAATATTTGGGTTGGATTACAGTGATACTTTCTTCACTGTGATCTCGATGAAGTAGTCTATATGGAGCAACCACTTGGATTTGCTGCTTAGGGGGAGTTTAGTAGCCTTATATGTCGATTGCTAGTGGAGTTGATAATTTTTTGCATCAAATTCAGTATTTCATGAGAGACCTCGTATTGAGATTGATTGTCATTTTGTCAAAGAAAAGATACTCTCGAGAGATATTGTTACAAAATTTATGAAGTCAATTGATCAACTTGCAGATATCTTTACCAAGTCCCTCACCGATCCCCATATTAATTACATCTGTAACAAGCAAGGTGCATGTGATTTGTATGCACCAGCTCGAGGGGAGTGTTAGAATAGGAATAAACAAATACAATCCTACTTAGAATAGGAATAGGATGTCAAAATAGGAATAGGTATATACAATCCTACTTAGAATAAGAAAAGGAATATAAATAGTACTCCCTCTGTCCCAATTTATGTGACTTACTTTCCTTTTTAGTCAATCCAAAAAGAATGACACATTTCTATATTAAGTAACAATTTAACTATAAAATGTCTATTTTACCCTTAATGAAATGATTTACAGCCACACAAATTTATATCATTCATTTTGGACCACAAGTTCTAAAAGTCTTCCTTTCTTTCTTAAACTCCATGTCGAATCAAACTACCTAACATAAAATGGGACGGAGGGAGTATATAGTATCCTATTTAGTAAAGGATTGTATTGTAGTGTCTATAATTAAGGTCTCTGTGTAATATAGATACACAATTCAATAATATTCTCATATATTTCACATAAGAGAATCTACAAGTTAGCTCAGGATAACTATTTGGAACTTGATTGGAAAATTTAGTTAGATTCTAAGATGGTTCGACTGGGTTTGGAACACATTTTGCATAAACAACATTTTTAGAAACAAATAAAGAATCCAACCCCTCATTTTGTGCAATATGTGGTCCAAATCATAATTTAACTGTATGGTTGGATCCATTCATTATTTGTGACTCATAGAAAGTGGTTTCCTCCAATTATGAGTCCATTTGATATGTTACAGTTCAAAAAAAGTGAATAGATGAGGGCAGATTTTTTAGATGCAACAATTATAAAATACCAAATTCATCATGTTATAAAAGAAAATCTAGTGCAAACAACTATTTTTGGAGATTTTGAAAGCATAGCTTGTGGGGAAAAGGTGAAAAATATTGAGGATCAAGGAGAAACATTGAGGTAACATTTTCACACATTCTTTGATCATTATAACATATTTGGATCATGCATCTAACACCATATCCCATGATTTTGGTGGTCTTTCTTCCTTGCGGCTATATTATGGGGAACTGCCTTACCCCCGACAAAGGTGGAGGATCGTCGAGGGTCAATCGGAAACAGTTTCCCTATCCCATAAAGGTAGGGGTACGACTGTGTACATTTTACCTTAACCTTCCCCAGATCCCACTAGTGGAATTACACTAGGTTTGTTGTTGTTGTAAAAAGATTGCTAACTACAAACTCATTCCAGTGTTGATAGCTTTAAGGATATTTCAAACATTTTAACAGAACCAAGTGTTTATCAACACCTTATTTTCAGTTTGTGCACTACTATCCAAACACGTATGTGCTTATTCATAAATTCAACTCCAACACTTAAAAAGTGCTTTTTTGCACTTGATGTACACTGTAACTACAACTCATTTTAGTGTTAATAGCTTCAAGGTTATCTCAAACATTTTAACAGAACAAAACGTTTTATCAACACCTTATTTTGAGTTTCAGCACTTCTATCCAAACAGATGTACTTATCCATAAATTCAGCTCCAACACCAAAAAAAGTGTTTTTTTAGCACTTGAGGCGTAAAACCTACTTAAATTCTGCACTCCAATCACAAATTGTATAAGAAATTCTAGCTTACGAAATTTAAAGAAAGGTTTCCTGGTAGTCACAGAGTTGATAAAATTGATTATTAAAGTAATTTTTATAACTGAGAACAGAACAAAACGTTTTATCAACACCTTATTTTGAGTTTCAGCACTTCTATCCAAACAGATGTACTTATCCATAAATTCAACTCCAACACCAAAAAAAGTGTTTTTTTAGCACTTGAGGCTTAAAACCTACTTAAATTCTGCACTCCAGATAAAATAGCAAGTAGAGGATAGTGACTTTTATCAGCACGAAGTATCTTTCATGTGCACTAACAATTTGATGATGATATAGTTTCTAGCTTACGAAATTTAAAGAAAGGTTTCCTGGTAGTCACAGAGTTGATAAAATTGATTATTAAAGTAGTTTTTATAACTGAGAAGTCTACTCTCTGGTTTCAAAGCTCGGGGGCTGATTGGTCCAACCGTCTACCTTTGTCCATTTAAATACCAGATATCTGGTCCACAACTCAGCGTCCAACATTGTGTTACTATTGTTTTGGGGACAAAATTGATTATTAATGTTGTCGCAATAACAAATATCAAAACACAGCAAAATATTGCAATAGACCTTAAATGTTTGCTCAAATTATTCTGGCACAAACCTAGTATACACAACTCCTCATATGCAGCCCATAGCAATGGATCCAATAACAATGCCTGATTGAAATGCTGGATGGAACTATTTCTTCTATCTGTATACCTGAAATAACTATCAAGTTCATGAGTACCTTGGAGGAGTGCAATCCAAGCTTTTTACAATAGAAGATCATCACTATCGCAACTCTTCTTAAGCTCCATCAATTGTTGATTAACAAAAGGTTAAGGCAAAAAAGAAACAGAAAAATATACCAAACCTTAGGGAATATCTCCAGAGATATCAACAACATAACATCCACAAAAAAATTGAGGCCAAGCTTCTTAAAGTATTTTAAAGGAAAAGGTGAAAAGGAATTATCATCTTAAAAAGAGGTGGTTATGAGGTCACTATCAAGTTCATGAGTACCTTGGAGGAGTGCAATCCAGGCTTTTTACAATAGAAGATCATCACTATCGCAACTCTTCTTAAGCTCCATCAATTGTTCATTAACAAAAGGTTAAGGCAAAAAAGAAACAGAAAAATATACCAAACCTTAGGGAATATCTCCAGAGATATCAACAACATAACATCCACAAAAAAATTGAGGCCAAGCTTCTTAAAGTTTTTTAAAGGAAAAGGTGAAAAGGAATTATCATCTTAAAAAGAGGTGGTTATGAGGTCTTTTGAGTTTCAGCACTTCTATCCAAACAGATGTACTTATCCATAAATTCAGCTCCAACACCAAAAAAAGTGTTTTTTTAGCACTTGAGGCGTAAAACCTACTTAAATTCTGCACTCCAATCACAAATTGTATAAGAAATTCTAGCTTACGAAATTTAAAGAAAGGTTTCCTGGAAGAAAGGTTGTGTCCAATTACTGTGATGAAGATGTTCCGCTGGCGAACAAACTATTTTACACAAAGGTCCAACATAAAGTGTTGATTGATACTGATAGCATGATTATAGGAGTAGAATGATTTGGTATTGAATGTAATTGATTGTAATTGCCTAGGAATTGATTATGTGATATTGTCTTTCCTAATTTAGTCTTAGGACTCATTGTATAAGTACTCATTCTCATTGATTGTATATTCACGAAGAAATACAAAGAAGCTTTTTCTTCTTCTTGAAATCTTCATGATGAGGTGAGTCATCTACCTCGCATCACTGGGGTTCCGTTTTTTATCAAAGTGGTCGAATTTTCTCACTTTGGTTGGTTGTCCGCAACACAATCTCCACCTGGTCAGTTCCTTTTGGAATTTTTTTCGTTGAGGTCGCTAAAACATTTTGAGCCTACAGCTATATTAGTTTTTAATTTTATTCGATCATCGGAATTAGGCTTCCGGTGCAACACTAGCTTTCAAGCTAGACCAATTAGTAATTGGTTCACTTTACATTTCATTGCCAAGTGAATCTCATGCACTTGGTCTTAAAAATACAAGTGTTCGCAGGACACGCTTCAGTCAAGTAAAAGTGTCTAGATGGTTACTAGAGAAGCTTAAAATGTCTATCTTCCAAAAAGTGCAAATTTTAAGGTGCTATCTAAGTATTTAGCCAAAAAGATATTCAAGAAAAAATAATGAAAGAATCTTATTAATTCATATAACCCATTCTGCACATTAATGAAATGTTTATTTTCACATAAGAATAGAAGAATCAATATCTTTTAAGTTAATAAAGTTTGGCATTGTTCAAATACTTGATGGTGCAGTTTCCATAAAATTATGTACTTAAAAGAAAAAGGAAATGATGTTGAGTCTATGCTACCATTCTTCTCCATCATACTACACTTCAATACGAGAATAATTTTCACATTAGAATAGAAGAATCAAGTTTTTAAGTTAATAAAGGTTGGCCATAGTTCAAACATCAAATGATGCAGCGTCTATACTATTCTTTACTTTACTTACAGTAAAAGGAATAGATGACAGTACTATCCCATTACATTCTCCTCCATCATATAAAATAGCAAGTAGAGGATAGTGACTTTTATCAGCATGAAGTACCTTTCATGTGCACTAACAATTTGATGATGATATAGCGAACACAACCAAAATTCATTGTCATAGTGAAGTATTAGCTTCATTATTCAGATAGATCAAACCAATTTCAGAATTAAGAAGCAAGGCTAGAAGTTAATCCTTCTCTTAAATAAATAATATATAAAATATGAACCTGTAAATAAGACCAAGAAGGTAATGCCCAGCTGCACCATTTGGAACCTACACAACAACCAATTAGCTATAAATTAAAGAAGCATGTCAATGGCTAACAGGAATAAAATAACTGGAGATGACAATACTATAAAATCTGCAAAGTGGATAGATATTTGGAAGGATGGTTTTTACGACTCTACCTCTGCAGTTGGCTCATTAGGAGGGCAGAGTGCTGTCTCAGCTTCAGTGAGAAGATCCATCTGAAAGCATGATAGTGCAAACAAGTAGCGGGATTGAGCCATACTTGTCCCTTCATATAAAAATTTAAAAAGGGATGATTATGAGCATAATCTCAAGGACAAGTGTTATCAGAAATCGGAAGATAATAGGGAGGAAAAAAAAAGATATTGCAACACAAAATGCAGTCATATTGACTGAGAATACAACACGCACCCTTGAGAAGATGATATGCAGCATAAGCCTGTTGGTTGTGCAGGTAGCAGCCAGCTAAAAGCTGCATATTTGTCTGCAATGGGCATAGTACATTATAGGAAACAAGAGAATTGACCAACTTAAGAGATTTCAACAGAAATGCATTAAACCCTCACATTCTTGAGTCAAATTCCACTAAGGGCAACAAGAAACAAAAAGTGAACTCCAAGAACCTAAAATCTCTATAAACGACAAATTGAGTAATACATATGTTTACAAAGACTGATGAAGTGAAAACAAAAAAGTGTGGAGTACCTCAGTGGGGAACTCGGCACAGAGTCGTTCACACATGAAAATGGCATTGTGGAACATAAATTGGCCAAGGCTGTTTTGCACAGATTCAGCTAGTAGGGTTTCCATTGATGCTTGAACTCGAATTCAAAGAGAGACGAGGTTAGAGAGGGAGAGCGAGAGGCGGGAGAGAGAGAGAGAGAGATTCAATTTTTCAATTTCAATTTGAGAGAAGTTGCCATTATTAAGTTAGTGGATTTCTCTTGATTTCAACTCACAAAACCGCTTATGTGACAAAGAAACTCGAGAAATGTACACGTTGACAAAAGAAGGAGCCGAAATAAACGAAAGCCACTGCTTTGATACACATTTCAACCTAAAAACACATTTCAAAGGCAATCTTGATAGGACTTCCTCCAAGAACCAATCTGGAATATATTCAGTCTCAAACTCAACCAGCCCCATTTACTCTGTTTTCACAAGTTTCAGACCTCTTGTGGTGCTCCGGAAATTCATCTCCATCTAGTTGAATTTGCTAAAATAAATCTTCGCAGGTCAAGAAATCAATAGAAAGGAGAATTGAGGTCCATGATTGTACATCTAAAGGTGACCCCTGACAATTGATTCTGAACCCCAAGTAGCCCTGAGAATTCACCTACAAAGATTAAGAGACATCTCATATGGCAAAGGGATCTTTACACAAACAGCTGAACTGTTTACTTTTTCTAGCCAGTATACATAGATTATAACACTATCACAATTCACACCAAAATTTATACATGAATTATATATATATACACATCCGCCGGTGATTTTTAGTTTAATCAATTGGGTAAATAACTATTTAGGTTATAATTCTTCTATGGTAAGAAAGATGATCAAGAGACACCTCATAAAGAAAAACCTGAATCTCATATGGCAAAGGGATCTTTACATGAATAGCCGAACAGATTTTACTATTTACTTTTTTTTTCTAGCCCGTATACATAGATTATAACACTATCACACCCAAACTTATACATGAATTATACATATATCTAAACATCCATCGTATTTTTAGTTTAATCAGTTGGGTAAACAACTATTTAGGTCATAATTCTTCTATGTCAGGAAGATGATTAAGATACACCTCATAAAGAAAAATCTGAATCTCAGCCTAAACGGATATCAAGAAGATTCTAGCAAAGTAACACCAAATCAACAGATCAACTAGATGAATTTGCAGGCTGACATAGGTCAAAAAACACAGAATAAATCACAAATGTAGCCAAAATAGCCAAAAGTGTACTTGAGAAAATGGAACAGTACAACTAAGGGAGAAATTCGATCATATAGCAGGCACTGTTCTTGCAGAATCAGGAGGAAACTCAGTTGCAGAATAAGTGATAGAGTGAAGACCAAATTTACCTGGTGGCCGGCGATGATGAGTGAATTTGGGGGAAGCGGAATTGGAGGGAAGACAGAGGGAATTTATAGGGAGTAAAATGGAAATTGACCTTTATTTCACAAACAAACAAAGAAAAATATTTTTTTTTAAATATAAGCTCATATTTTAATGTTAATTTATTACCTAAGAAAGCAAATATATGAAATGTGTTTATGGTACCCGACTACAGTTTAAAAGAATTACAATTCATAGTTAGTTAAGAATTTTATTGCAAATTCCTCTCTCCTCTCGTCCTTGCTTCTCTCGTCCTCGCTTCTCATCTCTCTATACTCTCTCTTTCCTCTATGTCCTCCCTCACCTATTCCTCTCTGTTTCTGCAATACAAATACAAAATGGTAACACATAAACATATTACACAAGGAAACATATGCATACAAATGTACATGGATACAAATACAATTTGTTACTAATTACAACAATGAGACAATTGTATTTTGTTGATACAATTGTACTCGTCAATATGAATTGTATTCGTTAATATACTTGATACTATTGATTTATATCAACGAAATGAATACAATAGTTATTGATACAAATCAATTGTATTCGTTATTGGTGTTTTAAAAGGTGAGGGAGTGAGGCAAGATGTTTTATGCACTCGAGACGAGGCGTAAGTCTCATGGATCTACGGGGTGTAGTCTCATTTATATTCAATTTTATAATTTTATTACTAAGAAAATAAACAAAAGTAAAACTTTCAATGATTTTACAAATAAATTTTAATAAATAACCTATAATATATAGAAAAGTGTTATGATTTTTATTTGAGAAATATTAATAACCAATAATGAAGAAAAAAAGTATTATAATTACTATTTTGAGAAATACCATTACATCAATAATAAAAAATATGATTTAAAGCAAAAAAATTCAAATAATAATAATAAAAATAACGCCAGGGCATATACGCACAAGGCTTATGTTTTTACGCTCAAGACTTATGCCTCAAATTATAGGACTGACGCCTTATAGATCTACGTATTCAAATTGCGCCCCAAAACGTTTTTGGTTAGCCCCGCCCCGAAACTCGCCCCAAAAATATTTTTGAAAACACTATTCACGATACAATTATCAATCAATAGATAGAAATCAATTGTATATCTCTGTACTCTCTCTCCCCGATCTCACTTGAGTCTCCTCTTCTTTCTAACAAGTAGCTACAAATCACAATTAAACAAACTATAGCTAAGGAGTCTGATTGTGGGTCTAGCCTTAGTTCTTGAAATTTTCTCTTTTTAAAAGAAGAAAATTATGTAGAATAACAAACATTTAGCACTATATCTACAGTTTAAGAAAATTGTAATTCACAACTACAATTTCCCCAATTCTTGCTATTCACATGCTTTTGTATAATTCGCCTGATTTTTATAAATTCATAATTTGTATAATTCGGTTTCTGATGATATAAATTTAGAATTTTGTATATGTTTATTTTAGATATTTGTATACGATTTATGAAAATTTAATAATAAATTACCATGTTTGTATGTTGACAAGTGAAATATACAAACGGAGTTCTAAAAAATTTCTAAATGCATAAATACAAAATTTGTATATATACTTACCTTATCTGTATATTCGCAAGCAAAATATACAAACGGACAGAAATATACAAACCGCAGCCTTCATAGCAAACGAAACTATAGTTATGGAGTGCAACTATCTAAATTATAGTTATAGAGCCTTATTATGTCTATTATATTTGTTTTTTCTAAAATTTTCTCTTTTAAAAAAGTGAATATTCTATTAGGATAGCCCGAAACCAATAGCTTTTCCATGCATCAAATAATGTTCCTCAACTCTGGGTGTCATCCATATTTTAAATTGGAGAAAAGTAAAACATTAAAACTCCCTCGCTTAGCAATAGGATAGTTATATTACTTTTCCACAATCTCATTTTCACGATTTAAACGGCTCATATTTCGCTAATCGTTACTATGAAAATAATTTTTTTCTTTAGCTACTCTAAACTAGAGTATCCGTCTATCCGATAATGAATAATAAATGAATAGAACATGCAAATCATACAATTTTTCCTTTTCAAAAATTCAACATTACAAGTGTTTGGAACCCATATTGGAGCTCCAACTAAATTCGGATCGCGCTCTGCAGTGCCCATTCGAGGGGTGACACTCTCAACATGATTTTCTTCATACCCAGGGCTCGAACCCGAGACCTCTGGTTAAGGGTGAAGCACTCCCACCAGTGCACCACAACCCACGTTGGTTCAACATTAAATATAGTTTAAATACTAACAATGTTAAAACCGACTACTTATTAGTATTAATATTGCTACTTTTTTCTGATCTCTCATAGCGGTCCACTCTTTTGGGCCTCTTTTATTTTCGGCCCAATATATGTTTTCTTTTTGTTCTCATCCTAAAAAGCCCTTATTTATTTAATTATATATATTACAGTGACACCCGTCCCTATCTCGTTTTCCTAATCAATATTAGATCTTTCTAGGGTTTTTATATAGTGCTCGGTTCGACAGCGTAACTTCATTTTTCAAAACTCCACGAAATTTGAATCCTCTCAGGTAAATTCACTCATTTAATCTTAGTATACTTCCATTTTTTTGGTCTCAATTTATATTTTGCCTATCATATTTGTCCAATTTCATTGAATTTTTGGTTCCTAGTTCCTTAAACTTATAGTTTTTTCTATTTTTTGGTTCATAAAATTGATTTTGTCGATTATTTTTTTAGTTAGTGATGTGTAAGCGATGACAACCTAGAACAACCGCTAAAAATATAAAGAGATAAACATACGAATAAACCAGGTGGATTTAACGCAATAATTTTGACCTTAGTGAATGGTAGTATCCGGGATACTAAGTGTGGATCTTCTCTTTGCCTGAGATGAGCTGTTTCTTTAGACTCCCAATTGTGTGTTAATTTTCAGCTGTCTCTATCAATATGTATTGTCGGTGACTTGTAGTTAAATATGTAATTTGAACTTTGATGAACTGGCTATTGCAAGAGTGATGAATAGTGTTATGAATTGTGTGTTACAAGAATTAGTATGATGTTTTTTGAGGTAGTTCTTACTGTTTATTTTCCTTCTTGGAAGTTTGATTTGATTGAATGTTATGATGTTACCTTGAAAAAATTATAAGCTCAGATTCATTTTTCCAAATGTAAGTGAATGTTATCTTGGTTTCACAAAATTTGTTGCCTTTTTGTGTTTGTTTAATTTATATGATTTTTATATATTTAGTGGAGTTCCGGTAGATGTTGGCTTCCACCATTTGTTAAACACTTCTGCTTTATTGACTATAATGTTTTAAGTCCAATGTATTGCTTTAGCTAGTCTTTTCTTTGTTGGTTGTGAGATTTAGAAAGAAGGAAATGGTTGAGAAACTACGAAGCAAGGAGAAATTCCCTTTAGTGTTTAAACTCTGCCTTCTTCTTAGTTATGTAGGTGTGCGCAATTGAGTTGTTTTTTTTTTTTTTTTTGATGACAAGGGAAACCCGCAGCCGCTACCCTTTGGGTGCGCACAGGGTAAAACCCCCGCTCCTATGCAATAGCTCGCAAACCACATAGGAGAGGTAACCCGCACTAGGCAAGCCTGGTGCGACGAGCTCGACTCAGAAGGCAAACCCCTTGCTTTCGCTGGCAAGGGGTTTCGAACTTGAGACCTCCAACATAGAAGTCCCAAAAAGTTGAATATTTTTTTGAAAAAAAATTTGGAATATCCATTGCATATCCTAGTTTGAACTTTGACACCAAGCAACTAGACACGAAAACTATTGTGTTGCCTATTACCAACCTAACCTTGTTCAAAGTGATAAAAAAGTTCTAGTTTGTCTGGTGACTGATATTTACTATGCAATTTCATGCAGAGATAACATATCTTTCTTGTGAACTCTTCAAGTTTCTTTCCTCATTTTCCGATGGGAGATGCTGAGAATTCTCTTCAACCATCAAAGAAAAGGGCAGCTATAAAGGAATTATCACGAGACAATCCTGGTCTCGATGATGATGAAAATGAAGCTGAGCTAGAGACTGGGTCTTTCAAGAAAGCAAGTGAGGAGGTAATGGCAAGTAGAAGAATTGTCAAAGTTCGTCGCAGTCAAACTACTACATCTACACCTTCGGCTAATCCCTTTGCAGCAATCCGCTTGGTTCCACCCACTGAGTCCAGTATCTCATCTGATGTGATAACAAGTGAAGTTAAGAGTGGGATAACAAGTTCAGGTAATCCAGAAGAAAAAAATGACGTTGGTGAGGCAACCGGAAAGGAGCCAAGTGATGTGTGTAAGGAAGAGAAGAAGGAACCTGATCAAATTTCTAAGCCATCATCAGAAGGTAATGTTGATGAATCTAATGTTGTCAATGAGAAAGTTGAAACTCCTGATGAGCCTGACAAAGCTGAATCTGCTGAAAAGAAGGTAGCAGATGATGAGAAAATCCAGGTTGAAACCAAGGAAGGCACAGTAGTTGAGAAGAGTGAGAATGACAGTAAGAAGGATGTGGAAGTTGGGAAAACAAAGAATGAAGAACAAGATGCCGGTGGTGAGAAAAGTGAGAAGGGTACAGAAACTGCTTCTTTTAGCTCATTCCAACAACTCTCAAGTGGCCAAAATGCTTTCACAGGATTTGCAGGGACTGGGTTCTCCAGCACTACGTTCTCCTTTGGAGGTATTTCAAAAGAGGGATCTTCTCTAGGTTTTGGTTCTGAATCAAGTGCTGGTTCTCTCTTTGGAGCAAAAAGTGACCAGTCACCATTTGGACTTAATCTTCCCACTAATGGAAGTACTTCTCTGTTTGGAAACTCAGGGTCATTCCTTGTGAACAAGAGTGAGGGTACTGGATTTCCTTCCAAAGAAGAGGTCACTGTTGAAACAGGGGAGGAAAATGAAAAACCCGTATTCACAGCTGATTCCGTGCTGTTTGAATATCTTAATGGAGGGTGGAAAGAGCGGGGAAAGGGAGAACTAAAGGTCAATGTTTCTACAACAGGGGAAGGAAAAGGTAGACTTGTTATGAGGAGCAAAGGAAATTACAGATTGATCTTGAATGCCAACCTTTTTCCA